CCCTACACTGCACATCCTACCAATGCAGAATTATTTCTCAAGTAATGGCACAGATTTCAAGTGATTCAATACAAGTGGTTACGCTTTCCTAGGAATATTATGGAATAGTCTAATACCTAAGGTGGTTTTATGATTTCTTTTACTCCTTTGTGTCCAGTTTTTTACCTGGCCTTGATTATTTTTGCAGGTTAATTCTTCTTTCATAATCAAACTCCTTAACTTAAGTCATATTTTTGTATTCCTATCCTGTCCATCTCGAAGATGCAATGCAAATGTATGCAAAGAGAAAACTGCTTTGCCAGCTTGTAATTTATTGTCTTTGTTAGCAGGTCAAATAATTTTGTTATTAGTGAAACAAACTCATTAAAGCCAAACAGTTTTACACTTGCAGGATTACTGTGAACCTCAGTTTTAGTTTCACCTGGTAGTCTATGACTGTAAAAAAGAATTATCTGACAAATCATTGATAAACAATGATTCATTAAATCATCAAAAATTAATCTTGACTTAGTGGTCATATTTTTCATAGCTGGGATCCATATGCTGTGCACTACCAACGGTCAATATTCTGATGCTAATTGGAAAGGACTGTTCCAAGGGTGGCTTTGCTTGCCAAACGCAAACACCCCACCTCTGCCCTTTGACTGCTCTTGGTATTTCCCCATGAATGTGTCATTTCTATCACTGCAAACGCCAAGTGATACAGTGAAAGTGTGGGTTAGAGTCTTGCAGCCAAGGTACACTCTCAGTGACAGTGTTTGAACTGATGCAGCACCATAACTGGTTCAGTGCTACAGAATGGAATTTGATAGGTATTTAAGAGCCTTAAACAGCAATTAGGCTCTTTCATAAGTTTCATAAGGCAACTCAATGTTTAATTGTCACTGATTAATAGAAATCATACTTTAAAAAGCATGTAGATACTTCAAATCAACAAAACGCCTTTCTACTACAAAACAGAATAACCACGAAATCCTTGGGTTTTTTCTCTTTTGATGTGAAGAATTTGCGACTTCACTGAATGATTTTTTGAATATTATTTGTTTGCAGGAATTCCAATAAGAACAACTCTTGATAACTCCACAACAGTCCAGTATGCTGGTCTTCTTCATCAGCTCACCATGAAAACTAGGAGCGCAGTGAGAGATATCGATCCTCAGAATGATCTAACCTGTCTTAGGATCAGAACAAAGAAACACGAAATTATGGTTGCTCCAGGTAATATTTCTATTAAAATAACAATAGAATTTTACATCCTTTAAATTTTCTTTTAATTATTCATGAATAAGGCTACTGTAGAAGATTTTTGAAAATAAACCCATATATTCACAGAATCACAGAATCACTCAGTTG